TAAGCTGGTGCTTTATGTGCTTAACCATCCTCTGAAGCTCATCTAATTAATATGGCCACTAAAAAGGTTCATGATGGTTATTAGAAGAGAATTGTTGGAAATATATTGTTCCTCAAAGAACAATCTCATTAATAGATTAGAAGTTGTACAAAGGTGTATAACTCTGAAACCTGAATGGTTGAAAAGTCTATTCATACCATATTTGATGACAACGAGCCTGATAGAAAAATGTTAGTGCTAGTTGAAAACTTTTTAGAAGTCTGTATATTAGAAGACTCTCCAAAAGCCGATGGATCAGAAGTTGTAACCCCTTCAGAAGATGAATGTTCAAAAGTTAGGGATTCAGATGCTATTTGTTAGGAAGTTGGTGATACAGAGTTCAGAAAGACCTTAAAGTATAAGTCTTCTCATCCAGAAAAGTTGATAATTGGAAATAAGGATAGACCTTTGAAAATAATATATGCTTTTAGAGAGGAATAGTCAATGTTGGGACTTATCTCCACAATTGAACTAACTTTTGTTAATGAAGCCTTATTAGATGATAGATGAGTTATGGTAATGCAAGAAGAACTGAACCAGTTTCAAAAAAATGATGTATGGGACCTGGTTTCAAAACCTCGTCAGAAGAACATCATTGGAAAAAAATGGGTGTTCAGAAACAAGCTGAATAATCAAGGAGAGGTGGTAAGAAACAAAGCTAGACTGGTAACTCAAGGCTACAGTCAGTAAAAATGCATAAACTTCTTTGAAACCTTTGCATAAATTGCAAGGTTAGAGGCAATCAAACTTCTTTTATCTTATGCTATTAATCATAATATTATTTTATACCAAATAGATGCATAAGTCGTTTCTGAAGAATATGTCAAACAACCTCCTGGGTTTGAGGACTCATTCCACCTAGATTTTGTTTTTAAACTCAAGAAATCACTTTATGGATTCAAACAAGCTCTAAGAGCTTGGTATGAGAGACTAATGATATGTTTGGATTAGTGGTATGGTATGGAATAAAATGGAGTGGAGTGGTAACTAATGTGATTCCATTGTTTGGAGTTTCAAATAATGGATGAAATGAAATGGAACATGATGGAATCCATTCCATCCAATTCCCCGTTTTTTGTGTCATCCAATTTGGGGTGTATGTGATGGAATAATATGTTGTTAATAAAATAACTAAACAATGGAGTGTGATCCATATTCCATTCCGTCCCGCTCCATTATGTTCATATTAGAAAATGACTTTCAAAAATGTCAATTTGACATGACACTATTAAGAAAAACTCTGAATAATGAAATCTTGATTGTCCAAGTCTATGTTAATAACATAATTTCTGGTCCTACTAATGCATCTCTTTGCAAAAAAAACTTAAGACTATGCAGGTTGAATTAGAGATGAGCATGATGGGAGAATTGAATTTCTTCCTTGGAATTCATATCATTCAAAACAAAGAAGGAGTTTATGTTAATCAGTATAAATATATTAAAGAACTTTTGAAGAAGTTTAAGCTTAAAGACTGCAAAGTCATGAACACTCATATGCATCCGAAATGTAATATGAACAAGGAAGAAGAAAGCTCCAAAGTATGTCAGAAGCTGTATATAGGTATGATTGGTTCATTACTCTGCTTAACAACTTCTAGGCCAAATATTATGTTTAGTGTATGTATTTGTGCAAGATTTTAATTAGATCCTAGGGAGACTCACCTAACCGCGATTAAGAGAATCTTTATGTATTTGAAAGGAACACCTAATCTATAGTTGCTTTATAAAAATATCTCTAGATTACAACCTAGTTGGATTTTGTGATGCTGACTATGTCGGGGATAGAATTGAAAGAAAATCCACTAGTGGAAAGTGACAATTCATAGGTGAAAAACTAATATCTTGTGCTGGTAAAAGACAAGCAACTATTGCCTTGTCCACATCAGATGCATAATACATCTCAGCTTCTAAATGTTGCACGTAACTCCTTTGGATGATATATCAGTTGAAAGATTATCAGATATGTGAAAATAATATTGTCGTTTTCTGTGATAATAATGTTGTCACCTGTTTAACTAAAAATCCAGTTCAACATTCTAGAACCATGCACATAAAATAAAACATCATTTTATTAGAGACTGTGTTTAGAAAGGTATAATATATTTACAATTCTTTGATATGGAACATCAATGGACTGATATATTTACCAAGCCTCTTACAATAAAAAATTTTAATTTCATTAAAGAGAATCTGAACATGCATTTTATGGAAGACTAGTGCTTGCTTCTGAAAGGAGGATCAGAGACTGATATGATCATAAGCTTATACGATTAGAAGCTCTGAAGCAACTTCTGATGTGTGGGAGCTTCTGGAGCATCCTGAAGCATCTCAGCCTCTGATGCTCAGAACTTGGTTTGATGTTTTCTATGGCATATGAGTGGTTTTTTTTTTGTTGATTATGACCACTTATGCGTCACGAATCTGAAAATTATTTTGACTTGGTCTTTTATCTGTTAAGTTTTTTTAGTCTGTGCTTATTTGCTCATAATCTAAGCTACATTAAATGGTAATTTGTATTTTATTTATGGTAAAACAAAATAATGTCATGATTCTCTCTAGTCAAAGATTTGCTTTTCATTTTTTTCTTGGCTGAAATGGTTAACAACTGCTCTAGAATCTCCTTCAATGGTTAAACCAAAGGTTGTTGGTGGCTAACAAACATTACTATAAGAAGCTACGAGAAAATGATTTGATTTATTGATAAAAATAAACGAGTACAAGATTTATAACATCTTATCTTTGTGAATATTTTAGAAATTCTTTAGTCTTAAAGTCTTTTTAAGTTGTATTTTTGTCTACATCTCTGATTGTATATCAAGTGTAGTTGTTACCCAAGTCTCTTAACAGTTTGTTATAAAGTCAAAAGTCTCATGCTTTAGTGCTTGAGCATTTGAAGTCTCTTACTTGTGTGTTTGAGCAAAGGAAGTCTTTAGCTTGTGTGCTAAAGCAAGGAAATTTTGAGCTTGTGTGTTTGAGCAAGAAAGTCTTAGACTTGTGTGTTTGAACAAGGAAGTCTTGAACTTGAGTGTGTAAGCAAGAGAAGTCTCTTGCTTGTGTGCTTAAGCATTTATAATCAATTCAGTTATTGTGTAAATCCATTGGAAGTACAGGGGACTGAACTACTCAGAGGTTGTGAGAGGGGCATGATAATTGGCTGTGTCTCTTGTGCTTTTACTTTACTTGCTTCTGAACTATACTCCGTTGCTATCATTTCTTTACATTTGAGTCAGATTCTGTTTCAGAATCTAATAAAGATATACAAGAATTCAGATTATGAGTGACTCTGATTCAAACTTTGAACTGAAAGTTTAGACTCTGGTTAAGATAAATCAGAAGCAGAAGAAGATAAAGTAGGAGAAAAACCAACACAATTCAACCCTCTTCTTGTGTTTATCTCACGTTCATTGTATACTTATTTGTAAAAAATTGAGACTTGGCTGGAAAAAAATCGGTGAGAATAAAAGATTTTGATTTTTTTTTGAAATGTTACAAATAAATAGTAAAATTGTTTTTAATATGCAAACATGATATAGTAAAAATAAAACATTTGAGGGTGCCAAGTATGGGTGTTGGCCGTGTGGTTTGGACGATTTTTACGCTAAAAGTCATCTGACCCGTAAGAGAAAAAATGTGCGAATTGTTTCGATTCGGTTGACTTTTAGAAATAAAACCGAACCAGAACAAAACCAATGTGGTTTGGTTCAGTTCAGTTGGTTCAATTTTTTACAATTTTTTATTAAGTCATACGTACACATATAGATGACAACATAACTTTGTATTTAGACATTCATACACTACCAAATACCAAAAAAAACTCATTATACATGGACAACAACTTTCCATTTAATTTGTAAACATCATATTAGACAAAAGTGGAATGATAAACATAAAACAATAATATAAAACAATATTAAAAAACTATAATGAAATAAAAAAATAAAGGAGATGAGAGATTAGTGAAAAAGAAAGAATAAAAGAGATGAGAGATTAGAGAAGAAGAGGTGCGATAAAAATAAAATTTGAAGAGAGAATATTGACATAAAAATGAGAAGGTAAAAAGAAAGAACATAAAAGACTAAATATTAGAGAAAAAAATACAAGATGTGTCTAACAAAGAAGACACGTACTGTTAGGAGAGATTTAAGAAGGTTGAAATTGAAATCCTAAGTGTGTGGAAGAAAAAACCGTTCGTAAGAGTAAGACTAATACATAAAAGCATCTTTAATTAACTATGATTATAAAGAATTTGCATTGGAATGACTATGACATGTCATTTAATTCACTAACTTTTAATTTTCGGCAATTATATAGCTAAAGTATGCTATTTATTTTGAAACATATAATATTAAAGTAAAAATACTTTGGACCCACATATAATATAAAATATAGAATCAAGTTTTAATTTTTTATAAACAGCTATCATTAAAGTAAAAACAACTCAAATTAACTATAAATTTTTTAAATCCTACAAATCACTTTGGACCCACAAAAAATATTTTAGTTTACCCACTTAAATACTCTCACTAAAGATGCTCTAATAGATTTAAGTTTGAGTTGAATTCGAGTGGAGTGAAATTTAAATTATAATATAATATAATTTGATTTGATTTACAAAATACAAACGACAAACTGAAGCGCACCACACTTTTGAAAAAAATATAGTCTAAATAAATCCGAACTAAATATAATTTTGCGATTTTCTATTCAATTTTAGTTTAATTTATGATTTTTTATTGAGTTGGGTATGAGTGAGAGATGTAGATAGAATTCTCTGAATTTGCCCCTATTAACAAATTGGGCTTAGCCCTGTTCATTCTAAATCTCTCTCTGTCTTCCGTTTTCATTTCTCTCTCTCCTGCTCTCGTTTCTTACCCTAAAACCCTCCACCGCTCAAAAACTCTACCTCTCTTCTCCGGTGCTACTCTCACTCCATCACATTCAATCTCTTCCCACTTTTCAACATGGATGACAGCTTATACGACGAGTTCGGTAACTACATCGGACCCGAAATCGAGTCAGACCAAGACTCCGACAGGGAGGAAGACGACGACCGCGACGAACCCGAAGAATCCGACAGAGCCGCCGAATCCGACGGCGAAGGTCCTTCAAACGGATGGCTGACGACCGGTGCCTCCACTGACGTGGACATGCTCGAAAATCAAGTAGTCTTAGCTGAGGACAAAAAGTATTACCCAACCGCCGAAGAAGTTTACGGCGAAGATGTCGAAACCCTAGTTATGGACGAAGATGATCAGGCTCTAGAACAACCAATTATTAAGCCAGTTAAGAACAAGAAATTCGAAGTAGGTGTTAAGGATTCTTCAACTTACGTTTCGTCGCAGTTTATGCTAGGGTTAATGTCGAACCCTTCTTTGGCGAGGAATGTGGCGTTGGTGGGTCATTTGCAGCATGGGAAGACGGTTTTCATGGATATGCTTGTGGAGCAGACTCATCATATGTCAACTTTTGATTCTCAGAGTGAGAAGCATGTGAGGTATACGGATACTAGGGTTGATGAACAGGAGAGGAAGATATCTATTAAAGCTGTTCCTATGTCGCTTGTGTTGGAAGATAGTAATTCAAAGTCTTATTTGTGTAATATTATGGATGCGCCTGGACATGTTAACTTTTCGGATGAAATGACTGCTGCATTGAGGCTTGCTGATGGTGCTGTTTTGGTTGTTGATGCTGGCGAAGGTGTCATGGTAACTATCTTTTTGTTTATACTATTTCTTGGGTGATTTATTATGTTGATGTTTAGGTATTTGGGGATATGTTGGTTTTGGTTGATAAGTTGATAGCAGTTGTGATCTATGTAGCATCAACTTTCCATATATTAAAGATGTGTCCAATGTTAGACACTTGTTAGTATCTAGGTTGTCAATAGCGCGGTTGATATGTTGATAGTAGTTATGATTTATGTAGCATCGACTTTCCATATTAAAATGTGTCCAATGTTCACACTTGTTAGTATCTAGGTTGTCAATAGCGCACTATGGCATAGGTCAAATCTGGTTGATATGTTGATAGTAATTATGATCTATGTAGTATCGACTTTCCATATTGAAGACGTGGCCAAATGTTCAACGCTCGTTAGTATCTAGGTTGTCAATAGCATGCTATAGTGTTGTAGCGTGGCGCCACGAACCCTTCGCGTGCACAGCTGTACTCTCCTTCCTTCTCCCATGCCTTCCCTTTCTCCACTGTTCTCCCTTACCTTATCCTCTGTTCTGTGTGCGTTGTTCTGTTTTAATTTTAATAACAACCATGTCATCATCTTCCTATGCCTCTGGAAGTGTAACACCAACTTCCAACAACAAATGTTATTGTTAAACCTATTGGTGACAACCTTGATATTGATTGGTAGTGGAATTCTTATAAAGACCAGAGCCATTATCTGATTTTTATGGGATATGTATACAGATGGAATTCCAACAACAAATTCTTATAACCTTTATAATTTGATTTTTATGGGATATGTATACAGATGGAATTTATATTTACTGTTGGAATTTTATTATATATGCTGTTGCAATTTCTATTTTTAATTATTTATGTATGCTTTTAGAATTTTTATTTCCTATATACATTGTTTTAGTCTTCACAATAGCCATTATCTGCCATGCCGCTATAGCATTTTGGTGGTTCGGCACGACGCGTTGTTATCCGTGATTTACAACCTAGGTTAGTATCATGCACCTGACAAGACACTAACTTACATGAGTACATGTAATTATTTCCATTTTCTTAAACTATCACTACTATCCACATGTAATTACTTCCATTTTCTTAAATTATCACTATTATCCACATGTTAGGGTTTGCCCGTGTATGTGTCTGTGCTTCATAGGCGTTTATGATATGTTTGCTCTTTTCATTTCTCAAAGCTAAAATTATAACTTACTGGTTAGACTATGATGGTAGTTACTACAATATAACTAGCTGTATGACAACATTGAGTTTTTAGTTTCTTGCAATTTGTAGGTAAACACAGAGAGGGCAATACGTCATGCAATTCAGGAGCGATTGCCTATTGTTGTTGTAATGAATAAGGTAAACAGAATTATTGTCAATATGAATGGTGGCTATGTCTTAGTCCTTTATTTTATTCCCCTATTTTATTCTCAGTTGTTCACTATTTATGTTTAGGTTGACAGGCTCATAACTGAACTTAAACTACCTCCGAAAGATGCTTACCATAAATTGAGGCATACTTTGGAAGTCATTAATAACCACATATCTGCTGCTTCCTCAGTTGCTGGTGATGTCCAAGTTATAGATCCAGTTGCAGGAAATGTTTGTTTTGCAAGTGGCACTGCTGGATGGTCATTTACATTGCAATCATTTGCTAAACTGTATGGGAAGCTACATGGAGTTCCCTTGGAAGCTAATAAATTTGCTTCCCGCCTTTGGGGTGACTACTATTATCATCCCGATACCAGAACATTCAAAAAGAAACCCCCTGTGGGTGGTGGAGAACGATCTTTTGTTGAGTTTGTGTTGGAGCCACTTTACAAGATATATAGCCAAGTGATTGGGGAACATAAAAAGAGTGTGGAGACAACCCTTGCCGAACTTGGTGTTACCCTTAGTAATGCTGCCTATAGATTGAATGTTAGACCTTTACTAAGGCTGGCTTGTAGCTCTGTTTTTGGTTCAGCTTCAGGTTTCACTGATATGCTTGTTCAGCACATACCTTCACCAAGAGATGCTGCAGTTAGGAAAGTTGATCATATATATACTGGGCCTAAAGACTCATCCATTTACAAAGCCATGACACAATGTGATTCTTCTGGCCCACTAATGGTTAATATAACAAAGTTGTATCCAAAATCTGATTGTAGTGTGTTTGATGCTTTTGGTAGAGTTTATAGCGGCAAGATACAGACAGGGCAGGCCGTCCGTGTTCTCGGAGAGGGATACTCACCAGATGATGAGGAGGACATGACTGTAAAAGAAGTAACGAAGTTGTGGGTTTATCAAGCTCGCGACAGGATGCCAATAGCTGAGGCTCTTCCAGGTTCTTGGGTTTTAATTGAAGGTGTGGATGCTTCAATAATGAAAACCGCAACTCTTTGTAATGTGGATTTTGACGAGGATGTATACATATTCAGGCCCCTTCTGTTCAATACCCTGTCAGTGGTAAAAACAGCCACTGAGCCATTAAATCCAAGCGAGTTGCCAAAAATGGTGGAGGGTCTAAGGAAAATTAGCAAGAGTTATCCTTTAGCAGTTACTAAAGTTGAGGAGTCTGGGGAACACACTATATTAGGGACTGGTGAGCTGTACTTAGATTCAATTATGAAGGACCTGAGAGAGCTATATTCTGAAGTAGAAGTCAAGGTCATATATCGCTTTCCATTTCCCTTTTCAACTCTTCTACCGATAATTAATTTTGATTCTCATTTTTTAGGTTAGACGTTGACTTAAAGCTGTTCGTTCCTTTGTTGAAGATGGTCCTTTCCTGTGCTTTTGCAGGTAGCAGATCCTGTTGTCTCATTTTGTGAAACAGTTGTTGAGTCTTCATCAATGAAATGTTTTGCTGAAACACCAAACAAGAAGAATAAAATAACAATGGTAGGTATCATATAGGCTTCATCACAGTGTTTATTTCTTAGTTCACGATACATTTTTCTTAGGCTGGGTTATTTTCACTTCACTAATAAAACTCTTGGTCATTCTTTAGATCGCTGAGCCTCTAGAAAGAGGTTTGGCAGAAGACATAGAGAACGGTGTTGTTAGCACTGACTGGAACAGAAAGAAACTAGGTGAATTTTTCCAGACTAAATATGACTGGGATCTTCTTGCTGCTCGGTCAATCTGGGCATTTGGCCCTGATAAGCAGGTAAATCCCTCTATCTATCTATCTATTTGCCCAACTGTCTCCTGAAACTTATGTGTAACATATTCTAGTTCCAATGCAGGGCCCTAATATTCTTTTAGATGATACCCTTCCTACTGAAGTTGACAAGAACCTCCTCAATGCTGTAAAGGATTCCATTGTTCAGGGGTAAACATACAATACAATGATTTATTCAGCCGTTCATTCATTAATTGATTTCACTTTGATAATGTTATGTCATTTAACAGATTTCAGTGGGGTGCACGGGAAGGACCTTTGTGTGATGAACCCATTAGAAATGTTAAATTTAAGATTGTTGATGCAAGGATTGCCCCTGAACCACTTCATCGTGGATCTGGCCAGATCATTCCAACAGCACGGCGAGTGGCTTATTCGGCTTTCCTTATGGCCACCCCCCGCCTTATGGAACCAGTATATTATGTAGAGGTATGCATATACTTGCTATCTTATGCTTCAGTATTGGCTGCATAAAGTAAACTCAAATGTAATCATTCCATGGTTCACAAACTAATTGATGATTATATCTTTTAAGAAAGAGCTGCAGACAAGCTTACAAGCAGAACATATCAATCCTTTATATTAAAAAATGATGGTCTAAGCAGAATGTCCTTTTTGTATGTGGCTGGAGTGATTTAATTTTACGGAAGCTAGCAAAATAGCTATTGTATTTGCTTGCACTAATTTCATATAGTAACTTGTGAATATCAATTTTACCTTTTCACTCATGCTTGCTATTTATAGTATTGTTCTTTTTGCCTTTGAGTCAGATTCAAACACCGATAGATTGTGTGTCTGCTATCTACACCGTTTTGTCTCGTAGGCGTGGACATGTTACCGCTGATGTTCCTCAACCAGGCACCCCGGCTTATCTTGTTAAGGTCATTGACTAACTTTTCCCTATAAATTTATTTAATCAAATGTGGTTTGCTTCTGTGCACCACCATGGTTTTAAACTTATTATAAGGCTACTGACCTTGTTCTCTACTTCTCAGGCATTTTTGCCCGTGATAGAATCCTTTGGTTTTGAGACAGACTTGAGATACCATACGCAAGGGCAAGCGTTTTGTCAATCAGTTTTTGATCACTGGGCTATTGTTCCTGGAGATCCTCTGGACAAAAGCATTGTTTTGCGCCCACTTGAACCAGCACCAATCCAGCATCTTGCCCGCGAGTTTATGGTAAAAACAAGGCGCAGGAAGGTATGGCTTTTTTCTTTTTTTTTTTCCTCGAGTTGATAACTATTATTTAAATGTACTGTTTTTACTGGGAGGTCTCATGATGATACTCATTCTCCATTTATATCTAATGATACTCATCCTTCTCGAGAAAGAAAAGGGAATAAAAAAGAAAATGCGTGTACATAAAACTAGAAGATAGGGTCATGCAAACAACATAGAGGAATGTTAGAGAGCATCAACTATTATAACTGGTTCCTGCAAATGGATTTATTGTGTGTTTTTCTTGCAGGGAATGAGTGAAGATGTAAGTATAGGTAAGTTCTTTGATGAGGCTATGATGGTGGAACTTGCACAGCAGGCGGCAGATCTTCATCAACAAATGATATGATTCTTCACAATTTTTCTGCCTGGTTTGATGTTCATTTTGGATTTAGTTTGAAATTTGGGCCCTTTTGACTGTGAAACTGGAAGCAAATGGTATGCGATAGAGCAAGCAAATTATGAGTTATTTGCTTCCGAAGTTGGCATGTATTTGACAGAGCTATTTACCATACTGCTGCTAGCTATTATGGCATTCAACTAGAAGTCAATTAAGGTCTCTCATGGAACTGGAAAAGCTTTTAATTGCCGGTTGGGGCATGTTGTCTCTAATTCTGTTATGTTATCAACTACTAAGTAGCATATCTCCAAAAATATATCCATTGAAATTGTATGAAAAACTTTGTATTTATGTCTGCATACTGACATATATCAACAAAGCCCCATTTAAGATAAGGTTACTGTTAAGAGAATTGTGACATGGGTCAAGACAAAACTAGATGATGCAGGACACTCACTTTCACTTGATTATTTTGTCTGGCCATTTGTTATGTAGTTTTACAATTTGTACGTCACTTTCTCATGTTATTTTAAGCTGATTGTGAAAACCCATGTATTCAATGGCATGATTCCTTTTCATTGGCTATCAAATCATCATAATCCTCATCAGTCACCACTTTTATTGTTTACTAATTTCATTATAAACAAAACCATTAAGCGCAAAAGCACGTGAATAAGATAACAATTAAATTTAAAGAAAACTATCAGTCTGGAGTTCCTTTACATTGATGTTCTTGTCTCCTAAATAAAGTTTAATAAACTAAACCACAAGTACATTGCTAAAATATTGTGTGCTTCATGATATACATGCTCATGTCTCTCTTTCCCATTAACAATGGGAAAAACAATCATACAATAATGGTATAAATTTTATTTGAATTTGAATTTAGCCCCTTAGTGCATTATTTTCTCTACCCAACCAGTGATCACTGATCAACACAAGATGAATTTATGTACATAATTTCAGCTCACCAAAAAATGGTTTTGCTGAAAACAATAATCTATCCTTCAAGCAGGCATTTAAGATTCTGAAGTCCTTCAGCAGATATACTTCTCCTAAATCTACTAGGCCTTTCAATAATCATAGGTGGTGGGGGATCTGAATGAAAACACACCATCACAACAGTTAAATTATCGGTTGCTCCTCTCTTTATTGCTTCACCTATTATTTCCTTGCAACATTGTTTAACATCATTATGCTGTTGAATTCTCCTCCTTGCAAAATCGACCGCATTTTGGCTACGAAAAACTTCCCATATCCCATCGCTTCCGATTATCAAAAACTCATCATCTTTTGTCAATGTCATCAATTTAAGTTCCGGCTCAGCACTCAATGGTCCTCTTCCACTCATTTCCTTCATTCCTTCAAGATGCCAGTTGCCTAGAGCACGTGTGACGCCTAACTGTCCGTTCAAGTAACCGTCATTGACAAATCCACCGAGCGACTCAATCCTCATCCTTTCTTTCATGCATAACGGATTGTGATCTTTGGACATTTCTATAGCCCCTCCCGCTCGGGACAAAACAGCGCGGCAGTCTCCGGCATTAGCCACGAGTAAAGACCTTCCAAATATAATTGCAGTCAATGCAGTTGTACCAGAAGAAAGGGAAGATTCTGCGGAGCATGTTTTGGCAAACTCCGAATCAGTCTCCAAAAACGACCTCGTGACCACCTTCTCGAGTTCAAGAGGGAAGTCAGCATCCTCAACAATCACCCTCGGAAGATGATCGCGAACAAATTGCGCAGCACTCTTCCCTCCATGTCCATCAAATACCTACACAAAATACCATTCGCCTTCAATGTTAAATCCCGATTAAGATCAGGTGCTCACCCTCTTAAGCAAAACGACTAAAAGACGTTTTTCCCGATTTCGTAATGGACGAACTTTTACAAGCTTATATAATCATAAAAATTAGGTAACATGTTGGAAGAGATGAAATGAGTTTTATGACAATAGACAGTTAACAAAATCAGTTAGACAGCTTACACCATAAAAGGAAACAGCTTCGTCGCAGACATCATTATAACCGAATTTCTTTGCCAAGTCTCCAATGCATATGTGAGTATCCTCCATGTAAGGCCGACCTCCGATATCAGACCACTCCCCGGACCGAAGCGCAGGGACAAAATTGATCAGGTTCTGATTTTTCTCTGTAATCACTGCATCTTCACAAATACTTTCCAGCTAAAATGTACACAAAAGTTATAATTATAAACATTACCTATAATAGCCTTTGATAATCATTTCTAAGAGATTTTCAAGGTCAAACAACCCTTAAGAATCATAATTTCTTTCAGTCTCTCTTCAACAAAAGTAACAAAACAAAAGATAAAATAAAGTCAAACATCTTTTATATGTGCTATAAGCTATTTTCATAAGCTGTTCTAAAAATCTCATGGAAATAAGCTAAAAACAAAATTATCTCATGGAAAAATCATAAGTTGTTTTCAGAAATTCTCTCAAACAGATGCAAACAGATAAGCTCATATAATTCAATTAAAAAAAGCTTCAATTGTAAACAAAGTCTAAGAAGCCAGATTGAAAAAAAACATGTTCAAAAATCAAAAGCCAGCTTATAATAAAAAGGAAGAAAAGAAGGAATAAAAGACTAACAGGAAATGAATTCACAACACTGATCTGGCCATTGGAAATTCCAAAAGAAGAGTCATTTTCTGAATTATCCATCTGGGCATGCAACAGATCACAATGCAAAGGCCATGAAATTCTTCTGTTATCTAGAAATTTCTCCATGTTATCATTATCTTGATCAACTTGTTCATCCTCTTGCACACACATGTTGACAACAGTAACAAACTAGTTGTTGTTAGCAAGTGGAACTTTTGCAGTTGCAGCTGTTGTAGGTTTGGAAATCAGAAAGTAATTACAAAAAGTCACTGACAACAACAATAAAAGACTTGATATAGAGTTTTATAGCTTATAATAAAAGAGAGAGAGAAAGAGAAGATTCTTAGAATATGTTGAGGAAATTGATGTGTTTTTATTTTCTGTAATATTTTTAGTGTTTTTTTTACCACCAAAATCCGATCTATTGAATTGATTAATCAGTTATGACAAAAGTAATTTCAACCCTCTTCCGATTTCCGTTGTAGAGTATCGAAAAGTCATTCTTCCTACCAATTAACTATTGCTATATTTTTAATGCTTTTAGTGTGTTAATAAAATGATAATAATATATTAGTGTGAAAAGAGAGAAAATAGAATCTTTAAGTTCTAGATTTTTCTATGAAAGTGTGGCCTAAAATTGTTGGTTGGATTTATTAGGTGACTCTTTGATATTATAATGTTTAATATTGCTAGATAATGTCATTTTCTATGCTTACCTATCATATTGCAATCCCACTCTTTCTTTTTTAAAATTATTATAGTATTATTATTTTTCTCTTTTTCTACCTTTATGCCCTTTCACATCAAACCATGTGAAAAATCTTTTGTTATATTAATAGCTAAACTTTATGCCTTTTTTTAACCCTCTCTGTCTGATTCCTTTCATTGGTTTTTTCTATCAATAATTTATTTTGCCAAGTAGTATAATAATGGCTTGATCAAAGCTCAACTACATGAGAGGATAAATTTTCATTCCAATCAAGGAACTGCCGTGAAAATTTAGAATACATTATATATATATATATATATATATATATATATATATATATATATATATATATATATATATATATATATATATATATATATATATATATATATATATATATATATATATATATATATATATATATATATATATATATATATATATATATATATATATATATATATATATATATATATATATATATATATATATATATATATATATATATATATATATATATATATATATATATATATATATATATATATATATATATATATATATATATATATATATATATATATATATATATATATATATATATATATATAAATAAACTTAAGTTGAACCTAAGAACATTGTGGCCGTGAAAATTTTCATTCCAATCAAGAAACGCTAAAGATGTATTATTTAATAAATATTATGGCCGTATAAGATGAACTAAATCAATTTTTAAAAAATGATATTTGGAACTTTGTCTCCCGTCTTAAAAATCATTAAATAATTGACATCCGACGGAGCAAGCCGACGCGATCCAACGCCTCTGAGGAGCCAAAACCAATGCCTCATGTCAATTCGGTCGACCTAGGCAGTCGCTTCACCAAGGATGACTTGAAGGAGCAGAAGAAGAAAGTGAGAGGAGCCCGGCTAGCAGTGAAAAACTTCCTAGCGCCAGATAACAACGAGGAGCTTGTCCATCCTGGCGCCCATTCCAAACGGCGAGTTCGAAGTTATCCTCCTCGACAACGACCCAAACAAAGGGGTGAAAATTGACATTGGCCTCCCCGTCCTCGCAAGAAAGAAGCTGAAAGCATGCTTAAGAGAGAATGCTGACTTGTTCGCATGGAGCGCCGCTGAGATGCCCGAACTGGACCCCGAAGTGGCCTGCCACCAGCTGACCATTGACCCCGCCGCTAGGGTTGTAGTACAACGTAGGCGTAGGCAGTCTCCTGTAAAAGTGGAGCTGCTAAAAAAGCAGTAAAAGATCTCCTAAAGACAAATTTTATTTCAGAAATCCAGTACACAATCTAGCTTTTAAACGTTGTACTTGTCAAAAAATCTAATGGAAAATGGAGAATGTGTCTTGATTATACTGATCTTAATAGAGCTTGCCTTAAAGATGCTTACCTTTTACCTAACATAGATAGACTAGTTGATAACTCTGCAGATTTCAAATTATTGTCTTTTATGGACGTCTATTCATGGTACAACCAAATCCCCATGGCAAAAGGGGACAAAAAATACAAGCCTTCATGACCGATTCAGGCAACTACTACTACAACGTAATGCCTTTCAGCTTGAAGAACGCCGATGCTACCTACCAGCGGATGATGAACAAAGTATTCTGAGGTGAGATTGGAGACATGCTCAAAGTCTACATGGACGAAAAGATCGTGAAATCTCAAGAGAAATCCGACCATACACTCCATCTAAAAAGAGTCTTCGACCAAGTGAGAAGATGCAAGATGAGGTTCAATTCGGAGAAATGCACTTTCGGCGTTCGAGCAGGTAAGTTCCTCGGATTCTACTTAATAGAACGAGAAATCAAAGCGAACCACAACAAACGCAGGGCCTTCTTCGAATTCCCGACGCCAAACTTGAAGAAATCAATTTAATCCCTAAACGGGATACTCACCTCGTTATCCCACTTCGTAGACAAATCTTCCCAACACGCACTTCCCCTTTTCAAGCTTCTTCTCAAGGAAGCAACATTCGAATGGACCGAGGAGTGCGAACAAGCCCTTCTCCACCTCAAACGATCTCTTTCGCAACCACCGGTCCCCTTGCGACCAGACAGTTAGGAGACTCTCTACCTTTACCTAGCCATCGCAGCCGAGGCCATCAGCGCGACTCTCATTCGCGAGACCTCAGAAGGGCAGAAACCCATATACTTCACTAGTAAGGCCCGGAACTCAGATGCCAGCAAATCGAAAAAGTAGTACTAGCCCTCATCTATGTGCCGAGAAGATTGAGACACTACTTCCTAGCTTACAGGATCGTAGTGCGAATTGACCAACCCGTAAAGCAGCTGCTCGGCCTGTTAGATGACGACAATGATCTAGAAGAGGTGTTGAATAGATCACTTATTAAAAACAGAGTCGATGCTTATTAATATTTGGATTTTAAAAAGTTTTAAGCGGAAGCGGCCGAGGAACTATGCTCGTCTAAACGAACCGTTACCAAAAAGATCAGATATACGCAAAGCCTATATGGAATACCGATAAAGACGAGAATTAGAATCAATAGTTTGAACACAAATCAATCAGATTTTGTTCATTTAAAGTTGGACAATTTTCAATGCGTGTGAAATATAAACCAATTGAAAAACAACTCAAGTGTTTGTGTTCACGCAATTAGTCGAACACTTGGTGTGCGAAGCACCTCAAGTAAATTTCAATAGGTGAATGAAGTGCTATGCTTTTCAATTACAATCAAAAGATTGTAATGAGGTTTCTAAAAATGTTTCAGCACTAATACACACCAGAATTTTAATCAACTAATATGTTTTCACACAAACTCAAAATTCAGCAATGAAAATAGTAAAAAGAGAGAACACCAATTTGTTGAGGCAGTCCCCCCGTCGTCCTCGCTCGGGGCACATCTGCCCTCAATTCTAAAAATAGAATTGAGACATGTATATATAACTTGTTGCAAATTGTTTTTACAAGAGAAGCAATAGAATTCAAAAAATCAAACCTAAATCTTGATGTCGAGCCTATGCCTTCTCTTCCCTTGATTCAAGATGAAACAAGTCCTTCGAACGTGATGAGTAAACCTCCGATTACGACACCACCTTTGAACAACCCTCTGGTCTTCAAATCTTGCTCGACTGATTTCAAACACCAATGATTCGAACCCAAACCTTCCTACCATAATCCTCCGGTTACGCTACTTAATTGACAGAACCTCCCGTTCTTCAATTACCTTTGCTCAACTGAATCTGTAAAGGAACGATTTATGCAAAACCCCTAAAATCCAAGATTCTTGAAGGACAAAACCCTTAAGGTTTTATTCAAGAAAAATCCACTGATTTCTCAACCCAAACTCGATAAACTAATCCTAAGTTTGGACGTTATCACCTCAATGATGCAGAATACACAACAAAAATAATTATGTGTAATTGTTGAGAAAATGAAAGAAAGGGAAGATGATGAGAACCAAATCAATGTATATTTTCACTTTTCTTGTTATTTTTGTGTAGAATGAACTAACTCAATATATATGCAAAGTTGAAGCCAAATAACCAACATAACAGTCACTTTGAATGTTAAGCATAACATAAATTCTGTGAGAAATGCGCGAGCGGTTGATCTAAAACAAAGGAAGGGTCAACCTGAGCTCTTCCAAATTCAGGATTATGCAAGAAATAACTCTTTCATCGACCCGAACAGGTCCATGCATCGACGCAAAGCACCCCAATATTGACAAGCACAAATGCATACAGTATGAATCGACCGAAGGGTCGACGCAAGCTCTCCTGAGAGTAAGACATGCAAATTGACTTCTGTATGAGTCGACTCAAAGACTCAGAACTTGCAAAAATGAAGATTTTCATATATTTAGCTACTTCTAAGAGATCCTAATGCATCTCTAACTTGAACAACATGATCAAACTCATATAGAACATACATAATGCTCTTTCTATATGTACCTAGACATGTTTTGACAAATGTTTGACACAAGAAAGATAACGTATGCATATGCGACTCGATGATACCGTCCAAAGTACATTTTTCAAACTATATATGTTTTGAAATCATTAAAACAAGTATAACCATAGTTGAGCACAATGTGTTGTATCATCCTCCCCCTTACTCCATGTATTTATCTAAAAACGATCTACACGTTTGATTAGTCTTGTAAAAGTGATTTATTTCTGCTTGGTTTTCTTCTTCCCATTTGAAAACATCAAAAAAGAAGAAGATAGAGGTCAATAAAAGACATATTATAATGAGATAAGAAAATTCACCAAATTTGCAACATGATAGTCATTAACAAACATCCATATATAATGAATTTAATGGAAGGATATAAACTGATAAATAGATAACCACACAAATGATCAAAAGAAATATATGCTATTACAAACTAACAATGATTCATGTCTTAATAAAAACAAACAAACATAAGAAGAGATTAACACTAGAATGCGATGAAATGACATGCACATGATATACAAGGA